GACGGCTCTCCGCCGACCCAGCCGAGACTCCCCACCCCACCCCCACCCGGTGCCCGACGACCCCACCCTGGGGCTGCGCGACCTGTCGGGCTGGTCCCACCGCCCCGCGCATCTCGCTGTCTCTGAGACCCCCGCTCCTACCTGCGGCTTGGGCCCCAGGGAGTCGGATTCCCAGCCCTGACCACCCCGACTGGGGTCTGCTTGGATGGTGCCTCCCCTGTCTCCTAGCTTTCATCAACTTTCCCTGCAGGTCCCAGGGGTTAAATATGAAGGGAATCCGGGGACCGGGCTGCTCCTGTTTCTGGAGCTTCTTGGAAAGCCCAGAAGACCCCTCCCAAGGGTTCAGACGGAAGAGCACCCAGTGCACCCCTAGTACCTGTGCGTGGTATCTGAACCCTTCCCTGTTCTATAGTTCAAAACCTGGGAACTACACCCCCTGGAAAAAATAAAAGAACTAAAGCCACGTGCAATGGCCTCTGGAGAGGGGAAGTGCCTGAGACACCTGAGGATCGAGAATGTTTCCAAACAAAGAGCCCAAGGGCACTCCCTCTAGGGGATTCTGAAAACTTTTTCTGCTGCATTGGGATGGTAGGAAAAAGCTGCACAGACACACCTCCTGGCCCCAGGGACCTGCCTGATTCCAGCTGATCTTTTAATGCTCCCTTTGCTGATGCCGAGCTGCCTCTAGGGCCTTCCTTGCTTGTTTGGGCTAGATATTAATCATGATTGACAGACTACAGCTTCTTCAGAGAAGCCTGGGACAACTTGGGTGTTTCCAGACAGCTCCATCTGGGCTGCACCAATGTGGGCCCTCCAACCCATAGTTAGGGCAGCTCACGTCTCTACTGTCTGCCTTATTAACCGTCCTACTTGGAGCCTCTGGATCCCATTAAACCTTGCACTCTTGGTCTGGCTGCTTGGCTCCCAGGTTGCCTGATTAGAGCTGTGTCATTAGTATGTGCTACTCATCAGCTTTTTAGTTTCTGTTGAAGGAGAATCTGGCTGGTTACACGACTCTAGTGCTAGGACCTCCAAGTGCCCTGTCTGGGAACTCTGAAAGCAGAACTTCTTGGTGGGCAGGGAGATTCACCCCTGAGCACCTGAATAGCAGCAGCTTGAAGACCAGAGATGGGCATGGACATTGGGTGTAAGTCTGGACCCTCTGGCCACCATTCAAGGCTTGTGTTGTCCTCCTTTCACCTGTTTTTTCCCATGAGATCTTCCAGCCCTGACCACAGACTCCAGTCACACCAAGTGTGTTTTACTATTTCTCACTTTGGAGCCATTGCATAGGCTGTTCCCCTTTTCCATTTCCATCTGGTCCTTTCCTATTCATCACTCATGTCCCAGCTAGGTGTTGGCTTTCCCAAGAACCTTTCCTGACCCATTGGTGAACTAAACTGGGTTCCAGTGTGCACTCCCAAGAACCTTGATGGTGTATCTCTGTCATGTTTTTTGTACAGGGCTCCTTGAGGACAAAGATATTCTTGTGTTCCCAGGGTTGAGTCTAATACTAGATTTTGGCCTCAGAAAATACAGAATTGAATTAAAATAGGTTAGCTAAGCCCAAATTTTTCCAGGGACATAGCAGGTTGGATGGCTGTGATGAGCTTGTGGGCATATATCCTGAAGAAGCTGCCTCTGATTTACATGGGTCCTCTCCCACTCCCCAACCCCCTACCCTGCTGCCATGATAGGTCAGGAGAACAGCGTTTTGCTTCAAGGAGTGGCTCGCTCTGACCAGGTTTCACTATGTCAATGGATGTTATCATGGAGAGTATGGGCATGATTGATGTATCTACCTGCCCTGACCCCTTTCTCAATGCTATTCTTATTGACTCATTTCCTCTTGCCTTGGAGGTGCTGAGGGCCGGTTGGCAGATACCCAGACAGATCTGCAGTGCCCAATGCCATGAGCGTGGTGGTGCAGCATGTGGAGGAGAAAGCTGTACACTCTTGGTCACGGATCTCCACGGCAGGGAAGAAGGCCCTGGAGGAGGCGCTACTTGTCTTTAACCCCATGAGCCAGGATCTCAGTGCCACAGAGGCCCAGCTTGTGGCCTTCCTGCAGGGCCTACGGGACGATGGCTTCCAGCCTACCATCCTGCGCAGTGGTGATGTCTATGGCTATAGTTCATGTACAGCCAAACCCCCAAGCCAGACGAAGCTGCAGGCTCGTGCCCCTACCCCAGCCACCACATCACCTCCAGCCAGTGCTCCCCGAACTGCTATGCGGCTGCCTGCAGGCCGGGCCACGCTGCTTCCCATGCCACTGTCTGGTAGGCTGGCCAAAGCATCCACACCAGCCCTCACCAAGCATGCTACCACCAACCTGCTGCTGAGCTCCCTGAAGCAGTCAAATGCCAACCATGCCCAGGGTAGAGCAATGGGCTTCCCTGCCCACCTCTATCCAGGTGTCTACCCTGCCATGCGGCTCTCTGTTGTCCTTGAGGCCCTGGTTCCACTCAAGACTCCCATGCGCTGCTTGGGTGCCAAGCACAAGACACAGTCACTACAGCTCTCACTTGCAGACTCTCCCCTGAAACTGCGGAAAGGTCCAGCAAAGGGGCTGGGGAACCCCCGGCCCAAAGTTCCCAGAAAAGCCACAAGCAAGGGCCCTAAGTGTGTGATTCGCAGAGGACCCAGGGCCGGACCCCAACAAAGCACTGGGCATAAGAGCAAGACCTGCAAAGCCACTGGATCCCTCAGTGACCCACAAATGAAAGGTGTCTCTACCCTGAGTACCAAAACAGCCCAAGCCAAGGCAGCTCAAACACTAGCCAAAGCTGTCTGTGCCCAGGTCAAGGTGGCTCAAACACAGGCTAAAGCTGTCAAGGCCCGGGCAAAACCTAAGGCAGCACAGATCAAAGCCAAGGCAGCATGTGACAAGGCCAAGGCCAAGGCAGCACGTGACAAGGCCAAGGCCAAGGCAGCACGGATCAAGGCCAAGGAAGCGCGGGCCAGGGCCAAGGCCAAAGCAGTGAGGGCCAGGGCCAAGGCACAGTCCAAAGCAGTGCAGGCCAGGGCCAAGGCCAAGGTCAAGGCAGTGCAGGCCAGGGCCAAGGCCAAGGCCAAGGGAGTGCCAGCCAGGGCCAAGGCCAAGGTTGCTCGGACCCAGCCCAGGGGCAGGGGCAGGCCGAAAGGGTCTGCTCAGGCCAGGACCACAAGGAAAGGCCAGAAAAGCCACCCTAAGACTGTGGGGCAGAAAAGGAAAAGGGCTGAGGAGGCAAAAGATCGTCTTCCCCAGAAGCGAACACGGCTTGAGCCTCGATCCCCTAAGACATATCTAGGTCTTGGAACGACAAAGCTACTGAAATTCCGGGCCATCAAGGTGGGCAAGCAGTCCTCCAATGATGAAGTGCTGCAGCAGGCTCAAAGTATCCTCCGTGTGAACCTATCCCCTGTAATACGGCTCCAGCCATTACTGCCATACTCAGTACCCTGATTTCTTCACATAGCAATGTTTGGGGAAACTGAGCCCACTGTCTGTGTTGTCAGTGGCACAATGTGCAATGCCCATGGACTCTAAAACCTTGAGGACTCCAGGCGCCTCTCCAGGGCCCTGGCAGCCACCAGCCTTTCAGACTGGAGGGTGTGGGATTGGCGTGGGTGGGCAGGAGGGGTGTTTTCATGGCGCAGTGCACTGTGACTTACTACTCTTCAAGCTGTATGTCCGCTGTTCCATCTATTAAGTTTTATACCTTTCCACCTTCCAGTCTCCCTGCGTGCTGTTCATGGTCTTTGTGTGTGTGTATGGCTGCGGTGAGCCAGCTTGAGCATATAGGAAAAGAAGTCCCCGGAACAGCTGCCAGTGAGGGTCCTGGTAGCCGAGGGCAGGTCGTCAATGTGAGTGATGGGATAGTGTGGGAAGGGGTAGCTTCCAGGCCCCTCTGGATATCCTGCCCTCTGTGGATGTATAAGGTAGCTCCTGAGGGCAGAGGCAGAGCCAGTCAAGTTGGCAGCCCTGGTTCGTTATCCAGATAGAACCCCATGCAGGAGGAAAATAGGTGACTGTGTGGGAAACCTTGCACCTTGCAGGTTTTTCGGCCAGGGAAAGGGGTTTTGTGGTACTGCTCCCCAAGGGCCATGCAGACAGGCTGGCTTTGTCTCCCAGCCTGCTTTGGTTGAAACCTTGGGCTTTGCCTGGGCTTGTCTGGCCTAAAGTGGCTGACACACCTCTGCATCTGCTCCCCTTGCTCCGTCCAGAAGAGAGTAGCCAGCCTTGACTTCCCCAATGAACAAGGAGTTGGGATTGAGTCAGAGATCAATGTTCTGGGTTGTAGGGCCACAGAATCTGCCCTCACTGACCAAGGAGTTTTCTCCTTGGGTGGGTGGGATACTCCATCTCCAGACTTGCTCCATGAGCAGTGTTTTCTGCCTGGGTTCCATGCTTTCTTTCTATTCCTGAGTTCAGCCTCATGCCTCCCAATGGGCCTGTATGTTCCAGACGTTATCAGCTTTCCTGCTTTGGAGTGGGGGCTGGGCTTTGAGCAGTGAACAAAACTAGCTCCCTGCCCATCTGCTAGTCTTTTGCTGGCTGCCCAGCCTGAAAGGCAGTGACTAGGGCTGTCAGGGAGGGGGACACATTCCCCAGAGGCTCCTAGAGACATACAGCCTTTCAGGGCTAGGGGTGGGAACCTCATTAGAATGAGAATCAGGTCTTTTCTGTCTCTGTGGGTTGGTCTGAACACCGGCTCCACTAGCCCTGGCTGTGGTGGATGGCGGACCTGCAGAGAAGCTCTGCATGCTTCTTGCTGCCCCCTCCCCACCTTTCTGCATAGGGTGGCCTTTCCTAATAACCCTCCCTTGGGTGCGGACTCCCTTGGTTTCCCTGGCTCGGAACACCCTTGTTACCAGCTGCATGGTGGCCCCACAGCACTGCATCTTGCCCCTGACAGCTCTGCGTTCATCCACCATGTGAGTATGGGGAATGACCTGAGGGTACGCTCAGCTCCCCAAGGGTGCCTACCTTGGGGCCCACTCTGCATCCTCTCTCTCAGGCCTGATTCCAGTTCCCATCTCCCAGGACCCCCAGCTGGGCTAGGCCCCCTCCTTTCAGTTTTGCTGCTGCTGCTGCTGTTACTACCACCAGTGGGTGAGAAGTTGGCTCTGTCCCCAGGAGCCACCCAGAGGGGGTGGAGAAGTCTTCAGGCCTCCTGGTGGGGTCGGGTGGGGTTGGAGGGGGGTGCCCCTAGGCTCTACTCAAACCCTACCCCTCCCAGTCCAGGCTCCCAGAACAATTGCCCAGGAGGTGCCAGATACACTTAGTCCACCTGGGTGCTCAAGTGGCAGCTGCTATCCACCCACTGGCAACCTGATTGTTGGTCGTGGCCAGAGCCTTTGTACCTCATCAACCTGTGGACTCAATGGCCCTGAGCCCTACTGCATTGTCAGCCACCTGCAGGTTGGGAGGAGGGTGAGACCCCTGGATGTGGTATCTTTGGGTGTTCCTGGGAGGTTTGACCTGTGGGAATTCAGGTCATTGCTGGGGGCTAGAGGGAGAGGCCTGTGCTTTGGAGTTGGGGAGACCGATCATGCATCTCCTGCCTAGTCCATCTCCTTGGACACTCCCCCAGGACTCTGAAAATTGCTTCTTTTGTGACTCTCGGGACCGGGGTGGCCATGGTATTGAGAATGTGATCTCCCGGAGTGATCCCAAAGGCAACAAGACCTGGTGGCAAGCTGCAAGTGGTGAGGGTGCTGGTGTACCTGAGTGTGGGGGTCTAGGGTCAGGGTCTGGTCACTGACCAGCCCTTGTGTTTACAGGTGTTGAGAACGTCACCATCCAGCTAGACCTTGAGGGTGCATTCTACTTTACCCACCTCATCATGACTTTCAAGGTGACCCAGTGCCCCAGCCTGAAGGCTTGTTATGTGCCTTATGTTCCGATGGCCACAGGTGATGCTTGCCCCTGGTAACCGAAGGACCCCTTCCTGTCCCCAGACTTTTCGCCCAGCGGCTCTGATCCTTGAGCGTTCAGTGGACCATGGCCAGTCCTGGCACGTGTATCGATACTTTGCCCACAACTGCTCAGGCGTCTTTCCTGGGATCCCTCCGGCCCCAGGCCACAGTGTCAGTGACCTCGTCTGTGATCAGCGTTACTCAGACATTGAGCCTCCCACTGAGGGCAAGGTCAGGCTCAGGGGTGGGGGGTGGCGGTCGGGGTGGGCCCTGGGGTGAAGCCAGAGGCTCAGATTGCTTCTTCCTCAGGTAATTTTCAAAGTTCTGGACCCAGCCATTCTGGTGGAGAACCCACACAACCCCAAGACTCAGGGTAATTCATTTTGGAGCCATTCCTGTACTCCCTGCATGTGAGGACAGCCAGATGCTGGGGGGAGGGGAGGTCCTGCCTGGGTGTGTGCACCGGTGAGGCAGGGTGGTATGGTAGGCAAGCCAGCTCAGACCCCCAGCGTTGGTCCCCAGCTCTGCCCCATCAGGGACCTATCTTGTGTTCCCTGTTGTGGCCCCCATTCCTGTCCCTTCACCGTTCCCCATACCTGCGCCCACTGCATAGGGACTGGCATAGGTAGCAGTTTCCATCTCTGTGCCATCACTGAACTCATTGTGGTCCTTAACACTGCTCTCCATGCCAGTCCGCAAAACTGGCCCTCATGTCTCTGCTCCTATCACCGTACCTCAACACTCCTCTTTGTGAGCCTCCATTACTGCCCCTAGCATGGCCCCCCTCTCATTGCCCTCCCCCTTGGTTCATCATCCTAGCCTTAGTTGGTGCCCTATCACCCTGCAGCTGCCTCTAGATGATGCCAGGGTGTCTCTGGGGGTGACCTTGTAAAGCAGAAATCTTGCTGAAGGGCAAGAGAAACAATCATAATCCAACAGGGTGGCCCAGAGCCAGGCCAGGCAAGTATCACAGCAGGAGGACAAGCCCCAAACTAGCTTTTCCTCTACTCTCTCTGCCCACCTTGACTGTGATTATTACCAGCTACTCACCCTGAACCCCCACATTAGGTCCTTGAGCAGCTGTTGCCCGTTCCTTTGATCAGGAGAAAAGGGAAATGTGGCAAAGGAGAGAGAGATACAGGAGGTAGCCTAGGCCAGGTAACTGACGTAGCAGTGGAGCAGAAAGAGGAGCCATGGACCATCCATGTGCGCATTTAACAAGCGCCCCGCTGTGTGTAAGGTATCTTCCGGGCAAGGCTCAGTGGGGAGCAGACAGACAAGGTTGCTGTCTTCTGGAAACTGACATAAAAGTGAGACAGACCATTGATAAATAAGCAAACTAATGCCTCATGTGGTTTGGATGACAAGCTGGGGAATGGAATCCTTTATTGCACTGGGGAAGCAGGTTTCAAGTATCTGGAGATGCCAGAATGGGGTGTCCAGGAAGCAGTGGGATGTATAGGTCTCAGCTCAGGAGTGATGTCAGGGCTGGAGCAGTGCAGAGACAGAATTAGCACCATTAGGCCATGGCCATCCTAAAATGGTGTACCCAGAGGAGCAGGGGTGGGAAAGCCCCACAGCAGGGGTGCTGGGGGTGCTGGAGGAGGTGGTTGCAGTGATCCAGAGAGGGGAGGGGCCCCCCATTCCTTTGCCTCAATCCCAGCCAGAGAGGAAAGATGAGCAGCACACCTGACATCTCACAATCTTGTCTCCAGAGCTCCTGCATGTGACTAACCTCCGTGTGAACTTCTCCAAACTGCACACACTGGGTGACAGGCCCCCGGGGGACCTCAAGGGACACCCTTTCTACTACTATGCCCTCTATGAGCTCGTGGCCAGAGGCAGCTGCCTGTGCCATGGCCATGCCTCTGAGTGCAGGCCTGCACCTGGGGCTCCAGCCAACGTGGAAGGCATGGTGAGCACCACAGGAGGGGCGTCCCGGGGTTGGCAGGGTAGGCAAGCTGGGGGGCTGGGGCAGACTCGTCTTGCCCTCATTCCTGCCAGGTGCATGGCCTTTGTGTCTGCCGCCATCACACAGCTGGTACCCACTGTGAGCGCTGCCAGGACCTGTACCAGGACCACCCATGGCATGCAGCAGAGCCTGGGCACCCCCATGCCTGCCAGGGTAGGTGCCACAACCTATTCCACCTGGCCTTTCTGGCCATGAGTCAGCCCACTCCATATCCACCTTCCTTGTTCTGCCCTAGAATGCAAGTGCCATGGGCATGCCCGCAGTTGTCACTTTGACATGGCCCTGTATTTGGCATCCGGCAATATGAGTGGAGGTGTGTGTGACGCGTGTCAGCACAACACAGCTGGGCGCCACTGTGAGCTCTGCCAGCCTTTCTTCCATCGAGATCCCCAAGAAGATCTCCGTTCCCTTCGCTCCTGCAAACGTGAGCCCTCCAATCCTGACTCTACCCCCACCAATCCTTCCACCCCATGGTGATTTCTGACCTAACTCTGTCCTCTGATTCCCAATCCAGCCTGTGACTGTGACCCTGTGGGTGCCCTGGAAGGGGGTTTGTGTGATGCCCACACAGATGAGACCCATGGCCTCCTCTCTGGGCAGTGTCGCTGCAAAGTAAACGTCTGGGGCAAGCGCTGTGACTCCTGCCGGCCCGGTCACTATGGCCTGAGCCTTACCCAGTCAGAGGGCTGCCAGCGTGAGTGACCCTAAGAGTGGACCCCCTCATGTCCTTGCTCTGTCCCCAATCACTGTCCTGATAGCTCATGCACCCACCTACCCCCGCAGTAGTCCCATTAGCACCCTGAGAAACCTGTGCCTTAGCCTGCAGGTGTGACCCCCGGGGCCGAGTCCCTGGCACTCATGCCTGTGATCCCTCTAGTGGTGCCTGTCACTGCAAACGCTTTGTCTCTGGGCGGGACTGCAGTCGTTGTCTGGTGAGTCTTGACCAACCTTCTGATTTGGCCTTGGGCACTGTGCTTCCAGAAGCTGACCAATATAAGGCTATACTCAGTGTGACTGTGGACTGAGCCTTGCACATGGGTGATGCCCTCCTGACCTGGTCACCAGGGTCAGCGTCACCTTGGCTAGCTGAAGCAGCACATGCCCTCAGGCAGAAACTTGGGAAAGAGGGGAAAAGGCAATTAAATGAGCTATAGCAGGATATACATGGTGTTGAAAGATATTTCACAGCAAACATGCTTGAAGGAAGATTCAGTCCAAGGAACAACTCTGTCCCTTCTTGCCTCTCCTTGAACAATATAAACCCTTTAACTTTGGCTTGAACCCTGGCCATGTGCTCTTTCCCCTTACCTCCCCTCCCTGAGCCTGCAGGACACCAGAGTCTCCGCTTCCCCTCAGCCACAGGCAGAGGGGGTCAAGTCCCACACTCAGCCTCCTTCCTCCTGCAACAGGCAGTTTCATCCATGACCTTGCGGGCCCCCAAACCCAACCCCAACCCCGTTCAGATCTTCCTGTCCTTCCTCCACCACCCCCTCTCTCTTACAGCCCGAGTTCTGGGGTCTGAGCAGTGACTCTCTAGGTTGCCGGCCCTGTGACTGCGACTTTGGGGGTGCCTACAGCAACAGGTACAAGTTGGAGCCTAGGAGTGGGGTCAAGTGGCAAGAATCGGATGTTGATTCTGTCCCCTCCCCGCCCCTGTGGTTGCTCAGGTGTTCTTCAGGGGAGGGCCGCTGTCTGTGCCGTCCCCATCTCCGTGGCCGTCGCTGCCACGAACTCCAATCTGGGTACTTCTGCGCTGCCCTCAACCAGGCCACTGCTGAAGCCGAGCTTGGCCAGAGCCTCGAGCCAGCTGACCCTCGGCTGCCTGTGAGTATCCAGGAGGGGCAGAGGCAGGAAGAAATTAGGACTCAGACCTTGGGGCTCAGGGGGCTGGGGGGTGGAGGGAATATCCAGAGAGATCTGGTTGGAAGAAGAGGCTGGCAAGGTCAAGAAGGTGAGGAGTCCAGGTCCAGGTGGGGGTGTCAGCATGCTCAGAGGCTCAGTGTCTTGGACAGAGCCCGTATTCCCAGGACAGTGTGGGAAAGGACCGGGCCAGAATGTTGGGGGACACTGATATCCCACTTGCCCCCAGGGAGACCCCAGGCCTGTTCCTCCCCACTGTACACAAGCCCCAGGCACCTCCCCTCATTGGCTCCGGCCCCGACTTCGGAGACAGCGTGACCCTCGATGTGCCCTCCACCCTGCCAGGCGAGCCGGCTACAGCCTCCGGCTGCCCAAAGCTAGGAATCTGAGGAGCAGGGTAAAGTCACTGGCCACTAGGGTCTTAGTAGGGATGGGGCCCACGCCCTGGGGTTATGGGTCTCTGAGGTCTTGGGGGAAGTGCACCCTAGTCTTGAGGGTTCTAGGTCCTGGAGCGGCTTGGGCCTGGGAGTCCATCTCATATCCAGGTCCCAGAGGTGCCCGACGCCCTGCACCTGGGAACTGGCTCCCCACTGGGGACTGGCCTGGACTTTGCACGTGTGCTCGATGGGGCGGGCCTCTCTCTGCTGGCTCCCACCGTGCCTCGTGCCCTGGAGTATGACATTGTCCTGCACTATGAGACCCAGGTCAGCGGCATGGGTGCCAGGCGGGTGGGTGGTGCTGGGTGGTGGGTAGGGGCAGTTCTATGACTACTGACCCCTGACCCTAGGCACCTGAAGACTGGCAGGCATTGGTCAGTGTCCGTGCCCAATCTCTGCCCAGCAGCACTCGCTGTGCCCACCCCCTGCCCTCAGAGCAGCTGTTCCAGGCCGCCTTGACCCACGCACACAGGTAGGCAGGACCTTTTGACCCCCAAAACCAAGACCCTATTATGCTGCCAACACATTTGAAGCAACACGTGGACAAAGTGGGAAATTCCCACTATGGACATCGCCATGCCATAGAAGGTCGAAACCAGGACTTCATCTAGCAGAGCAGGGTTTAAGAAGCTGGCCCTTTGCCATTGGCTGTATGATGAAATGTTGGACCCAATCACTGCACGATGGAAATGGGGTACCCCTGGACCACTGGGTCATGACCTCCGTGTCCCAGCCTTACTCCTCTCCCGCCTCTCCGCAGAGCTGTGGTCCTATCCAGACCTTTCTGCTTTGAACCAGGAACACGCTACTCTGTGACCCTGCGGCTGTGGCGGACCAAAGGGGTGCGGAGGCCTGAGGGAGGCATCATCCTTCTGGATTCGGTGAGATCCTAGGGGCTCCTCCCCACATCGGGAGGAGACACAGGTTACAGCAGACAATACGGGCTGAGGCGACGGTAGTCACGGAGGCCCAGAGTTTCAAAGGCAGGCACCAGGAGAGGGGCTTAACCTTTATCCCGGGATAGTGGGAGCCATGGAAGGAACTCAGCAGAGAAGAGATGGGGGGAGGATGGGTTGTTGGGGGGAGGCTGCTACAATGATTCTGAGTGAGAGGGAGGGGAAACAGACTCAGAGGAGTGGCAAAGGGGCGAGAAGGTGTTGTGAGGGCCAGTGCAAGGAAGGGTAGTGGGTAGTAGATGTTAGGGACCGGGGCTGGGTTCATTGTCCCCTGCTTGCCACCCTCCACCCTCCTACCAGATTGTGCTTCTGCCACGGGTGAAGGAGTTGCCTGGGCTAAGATCGGTGGACCCCGGGGCCACAGGGCGCTTACAGGAGCTGCACAAAGCGGGCTGCATGGAGGCTGCAAGGACAGGCCTCCCCAGCACCATGCCTGAGGCCTGTGCCCGCCTCGCCTGCAGCATCTCGGCCCTGCTCCATGGGGGTGGCCTCCGTGAGTGTGTGCTCCTAGCTCGAGGGGGCTGCAGGACAGGGGTTACAGGAGGCGCTGTGAGGTTCATCTGATCTTGCCTTTTCTCCTGCCAGCATGTGAGTGCCACCCCCAGGGTTCACTGAGTACTGAGTGTGCCCTGCTGGGTGGGCAGTGCCCCTGCCGTCCTAACATCATTGGCCGTACCTGTGACCGCTGTGTGCCTGGAACATATGGCTTCGGTCCCACTGGCTGCAGTGGTGAGCCTCAGGGCCAGTAGGTGTGGGTGTGGGGTGTGGGACCAGCACCTTCTTTCTCTGCATGGCTTGATTGCCCTGTCATTCCCCACAGAGTGCCGCTGCCACTCCGAGGGTGCCACCAGTGCGGTCTGTAACCCTATGAGCGGGCAGTGCATGTGCCGGGCAGGCCTTGCTGGCCGCCGCTGTGACCACTGCCTCCCTGGCCGGTGGGGCTTTCCACACTGCCAGCCCTGTGCCTGCAATGGGCATGCTGAGTTGTGCCACCCACTTACAGGCGTCTGCCAGGCCTGCAACGGAGCCACGGCAGGCCGGCACTGTGAGAAGTGAGTGCTGCCCCTGGAAGGGTTGGGTAAGAGTAAGGATGAGGGCGCCAGGCCCATGCCGTGCGCTACTGCCCCCAGGTGCATGGACGGCTACTATGGAGACCCCACCCTGGGCTCAGGCCAGCAGTGCCGGCCCTGCCTCTGTCCTGGGCACCCTGGCTCTGGCTTCTATCATGGGACTTCCTGCCATGTGGACAGCGCGAGTGGACGTGTCCTGTGCCTGTGCGCACCTGGCTATGCAGGTGAGGCATGTGGCAAACCCATGGCCCTGCTCACTTGTTCATAATCCCATCAGGCCCATGAGGCAAATCTTTGCTGATGCCAGATGCCACCCCTGTTAAGTCGCAGGCCAGGCATCTCTCCTTAAGGGGTTCCCATAGAGGGGAGGGAGGGTCAAATGGGAGGAATTACAGGCATGGAACTTGTTAATGTCTTCTGCTGTCTTGGCACACCTTGGACTTTCTGGCTGGGTATGAGGGACCATCGTCCCCAAGGGTACAGGAAGACGCCTGAAGATGATCTACACCCCCTCAATCTCTCCAGGGCCCCGCTGTGACCGCTGTTCCTCTGGCTACTTTGGGCGCCCTTGGCCAGGAGAAGACCCCAGGAGGAGTTCCTGCCGGCCCTGCCAATGCAACAACAATATTGATCCCCGTGATCCTGCTGCCTGCGACCCCCACAGTGGGCACTGCCAGCGTTGTCTGCACTACAGCCATGGCCCTGGCTGTGCCCACTGCAGGCCTGGCTTCCATGGCAGTGCCCTGCGCCCAGGGGGCTGCAGGCGTGAGTGTGTGGGTGGAGTGGATGAGGCCATCCCAAGGTGGGTGGGTGGGTTCTCTTTCCTCCACCCATGCCAAGCCCTTCCTCTCCCCAGGCTGCAGCTGTGACTCCCGGGGCACTATCCCTGTGAGGTGCCCACCTGGGGCTGAAGCCTGCTTCTGCAACCAGGTCAGCGGGCAGTGCCCCTGCCGCCCCCACACACTGGGGCGGGACTGTAGCCGTTGTGCCCCCCTCTTCTGGAACCTGGGGGGGCCTCGGGGCTGCGAGCCCTGCAGCTGCCATGCCCAGCACGCTTTGCAGCCAGTGTGCCATCCAGTGAGTGAGTCTATGTTGCATATAATATGTGGCAGTGACCAGGTGTGAGTGAATGTGTGTGCGCCTATGACAGGGTGTAACACGGCTGGTGTGAGTGTTCATGTGACCACCAGCACCGGGATACCTGTGGCCGCAAGCAGCTGTGTGAATCTATGCTCTTGTGGGATATTAACTATGAGCTAGTGGCCACGCCTGGGGAGAGCAGATACAAGCGTGCATGTGCCTGACCCTGTGTGCAGCCCTGCCTTAGCATGTGGGTGAGCCACTGTGAGCGGGTCATAGCAAGTAGAATGAATGTGGTGGGGGAAGTGGGGGCTGGGAAGGAGGCTGAGGAGACATAGGCAGAGGGTGAGGATTGGGAGCTGGTGCTGCAGACAGAGCTGGTCATGGGAAGTGTGCGTTTCTAGGAAGAGAGTGGGCAGCCACTGAGGAGGTGAGGCCTGAGGTGTGTCCTGTGTCCTTGGGGAGGAGATGGTGGCAGTCAGGTGAAGGAGGCATGGGGGTGAGGGTACAGAGACAGTGGGATATTTGACTCAGGACACGGAGTAGCAAGGGGCAGCAGGTCAAGAATTGAGAACCCAGAGGGTCTGTGGAAGTTGAGGCTGGCAATGTGGGAAGGTAGGGGCTGGCCAAAGGGGCAGGAAGGGAGAAACCCTTGGCTAAGGCAAGTGTGGGTGCTGCCTGCAACAGAAGCAGGGCTGACAGGAAGGCAGGGTGTTGGGGTGTGCTGGGGTGTCCTCAGGTGTGCTGGGTGTGCAGATACTGCCTCTGAGTATGTGTGTCCTCTGTGTGTCCCTGAGGAGGCTCCTGCTTCCTGCCGACAGGTCTACACTCTCTTCCCTCAGGTCACTGGTCAATGTCCCTGCCGGGCAGGATTTGGGGGCCGCACATGCTCCCGGTGTCAGGATGGGTACTGGGGTGATCCGGAGCAGGAGTGCAGAGGTGAGAGGGGCACTCATGTGCTCTATCCCCAGGGCCGAGGCTGCCCTGAAGAAGCCACTCAACATGGAGTAGCAGGGGACAGTGGGTTTTTCCTGAGGGAGACCACAGTATGCTTATTGCTGTTTGCTCCCAAACTTCAGGAAATACTTGTGAAGACAGCTATAGGGAAACAATGTTGGCAAAACCAGGTGGGGCAGACCTGCAAAGTGGACACCTTGGGTGGCTCTTTCCTGACCCTGCCTGGCAGGCTTGGCCCTAGTGGACTTCTGACTGGGTGTAGAGCCCCTGCGTCCCTGTGCTGTTTTCCTGCCTAAAGGCTGCCATGCAGATGGCTTCTCTGGGTAGATGGCAATGTCAGACAGTTCTGAGCAGTGGCTCGGGTGAGGGCTGGTGTGCACCTGCACTCTCACAGGGCCATCCTCCCACGGGCTGCTTCTTGGAGGCAAGGCGAGGCGAGGCAAAGCTGAGTGCTGCCTGCAACCTGCAACCTGCCCTGACCCCTTTTTTCCCCTACAGCGTGTGCCTGTGACCCACAGGGCTCCATCTCGCCCAGCTGTGACCCACACACCGGTGCCTGCCTCTGCAGAGAGGGTATCTCAGGGCCGAGGTGCCAGGCATGTGCCCGTGGCTCCAGAGGTGGCTTCCCACACTGCATGTCCTGCCCTACCTGTTTCACCTCCTGGGACCAACGCCTGGCTGTGCTCCAGCTGCAGCTGGAAGCTGTGGCCCAGGAGGTGGCTGCCCTACGTCAGGGGATGCCTGGCTGGTGTTCTAAGGGCAAGGGTAGACACCAGCAGGCCCTGGAGGGGGTACTCCAGAAGGCACAGATGCTCTTGGAATCTCCTTCACCCACTGTGGGGACCCTTCAGCAACTTACAGAGTGGACAGCTGGACTCAGGCAAGGGGCCTGTGGTCAGTAGGGAAGAGGTCTCTAGCTAGTTTCCTGGGGTCAGGGATTCAGAGTGCCACAGGGTGGCCTGTATGAGTCCTGGGTCTGGGAGTCAGGTGGGTTTTCTTGAGTGAGGAATCATGGAGGAGAGGACATCTTCAGCCACATTGATGCTCCGTTTTCCCGCAGAATGGAAATGGCTGCACTGGCCCAGACACTGTGGACCCCAGGACAGGTTGTGGCAGAAAGTGAGCCACGGGTTAGGAGGCAGTGTGAACGCCTGGAAGAATTATCCCGGGAGCTAGACTGTGTCAAGGGCTTGGTCTGGTCCAAGAGGACCACAAGAGTCCAAGGTGAGGCCAGATGGGCAAGTGGGTGGACAGCAGGTGAGGGCAGGGGCTAGGTTGGGTCAGGAGGAGAGGACCAGGTACCATTGCTTATGTATCTAGGGAACCTAGAGGCTGCCCCAGCCAGTGGGGCCCTAAGCCACCCTCTGTCTATCCTTCCCATCTTCTGCAGATGCTGAGGCCCAGGTCTCCTCAGCTGCCCTACTTTCCCAGGAGGCCATGCTTGGGGCCCAGATCGTGGCCACACTTGGAGGACCAAACAGCGTCCTGGGACAGGCCCGAGAGGCCCAGCGATGGACAGAGCAGCTTCTATGGGAGACAGGCCAGCCTACAGGGACAGCTGTGTGGGAGCTGAAACTGAAGGGGCTGGTCAACAGGGTCCAGATGCTGCATCCACAGCTTCTGAGACTCCTAGTCAGAGCTGGAGTGGTGGGTGGAGATATGGATCACTGGGGGGGGGGTTGCCAAGGTGAGGACTGTCCCTTAGGGGTAACCTGCGTATAGATCAGTAGGGGATCTGGGATGTGCTTTCTGGATTTCCTATCTTGTTTGCAGGAATGCAGGGGTCAGGGCCCTGGGCTGGCCTGTGTTCCTGTACTCTGTGATGTTTCCCCTTGCCCTGGGACTCTGCCTACTGCCCACTGGGCTCTGGTTGTCTCCCGCAATACCTCCTATAGCCTGGACATAGCAATCACGGCCTTGGAGCAGCACCAGCAACTGGTACAAAGCTATAGGAGCCATGGATGGGAGCCATGGGGGAGACTTAGGGGATCACAGTTTGGCCATTGAGTTACAGGAGACACATTTCACATCTGACCCATCCCTACCAGCTGCAGCAAATCCAGGCTACAGCAAGCTCCACGGGGATCCAGGCCCGGGAGACATGGCATCGTGCAAGGGGGCCCTGGGGTGCAGCCACCATGGCCCCTGTGCAAGCTACTGTGCATATGATCCAGCGTTTCCTCTTGGGTACTTGTCTGTTTGTGTGTCTATTCACAGCTGTGGACAAGGCAGGCTGGCACTCAGGTCACTGCTGTGACACTCCTTCCAGAATGAGGAATACCCAGAAGGGCTGACCAGGGGTCAGGTGGGAGCATTAGTGTGCTGGCTACGGATCTGGGGAACTGATTATAATGTTTGTCAGTTTTCATGGTGTTAGTAATCCTACCATGGCTGACTGCAGTCTACCTACCATTTAACAACTGATTCACAAAAGTCCTGAAAATGTAATACTTGTCTCTTTTAAGCCTCCAGCATACCATGCAGCCATATTAGAGGCAGAGTCAGTGAGATGTTAGGGTCAGGGTTCGTGGGGTCATGGATCAGAGTTCACATCCAAATTCCCTGTACCCATCCCCACAGATGAAGGTGCAGATGCTATGAGTGTGGAGCTGGTGGCATGGCGTGGGCTGGCAGTGCCCCTCCCCCAGGGTGGCGCAGCAGGCATTGCTCTCCTCCTGGATCAGATCCAGAGTGCCCTCCCTGCACCAGACACTGGAGTCCAGAAGCTGCCCAAAGCTGAAGGTGTCCTCCATCGGGCACAGCAGACCAGGTGAAGGGCCAGGAGGCCGGAGGTAGAGGTCAGAGGATGGGGAGGAAAGGGATACCCTTCTGATCATCTGCACCTTTCAGGGAAGGGACAGCCAGGGCCCAGGACCAAGCACTGGATGTTCAGGGGGTGCTGGCTGAGGCGGGAACTCACACAAGGGCAGCAGAGCAAGGGCTGCAGGCAGCAAAACAGACACTTGGAGGCCTGGAGGCCAGTGTACAGGAGGTGATAACTCCATGTACCCCTCAGCTCCCTGCACCTCTTGTTCAGTGGCTGCTGTGGTCCCATTGTCCTCCTGAGGTCCTTGACCCACTGTGATACCATGATGCTACTAAATACCCTGACCATGTGAACACTCTACTTAGTTGCTGCCCTGCTGTGGCCTCCCTATGATCCCCTGACCTTTGCCCCAGGTGGCAGGGCGCCTGACCCAGGTGACACTGGCAGTGGATGTGACCCCGGACCTGGGGCTTCTGTCCAGTGCAGCTGTGGCTCTCAGGACCCGCTTGGCCCTGAGTCAGAGGCAGGCCCAGGAGGCAGAAGAGCGGGCAGCACATGCGATGGGCTTGGCTGAGGGCCTGGGCAAGGTGAGATGGGAGCAGTGGACATTGGGGTGTCAGGGACCCCTCTGGGACAGTGTGAAGTGGGGTTTAGGCTGGACTGGGCTATGCTGGGCTGAGGTAGGGTCTCAGTTCTAAAACCCCTTGTCCCCCAGGAACCTTGGGCAGCAATGAGTTTTGGTCTAGGTGGGGTGGGGTTTCAGGTCCAGTCCTGCTCCAGGAGTTGCAGGTGGCCCGGTTAGGTGTGGCAGAGTTGCAGGAGGGCACATATAGCCTGATGGCCACAGTGCAGGACGCAGGAGAGAGGGTACAGCGGACTCGAGCCGAGGCCCAAGAGCTGCTGAAGTGGGTGCAGGACAGCTGGAGCCGCCTGGAGGGTACGTGTCTGGGCCACAGTGGGGCGGGTACAGCATGGAGTTGGTCAAATGGGAGGGTCAGAGTCACAGTCAGAACAGGTGTGGGAGGGTCAGGGCTGGGTCCAGGTCAGGTTTAGATTCATCTAGGGCTCAGGGCTGGGGTCAAAGTTCAGAACAGGAGGTCAAATGTAGATTAGGGTTAGAGCTTATTTAAGGATGGGGTCAAGAGTCAGGGTCCTAACAGAGATGAGGGCCAGAGGTCAGAGCCGGGCTCAGAAGATTTGTCCTCAGGGCTGGAGCGCCGCCTGGTGCAGAGTGAGCAGACACTAGGGAAGAAGGTGGCCACCCTGTGGGCCCTGGAGAAGCATGCAGCAGAGCTGCTTCAGCACCTGCAGCTGTGGGCCAGTGCCTATGCCACCTGCTGATTGCTGCCTGTGGATACCGAAAAGAGGGACTTGGACTGCCTGGGTGACTCAGAGTGATCCCAGGAATCTCCTGACCTCAAGAGACCACAGACACTGCTTTGTGCCTGCTGACCCTGAATGACCCTCATGTGTCCTCCAGTGGCCCTCTGACCTTGAGAAACCAGAGATATCATGTAAAATTCCCTGAGGCCATCTACTGCCCCTGACCCTGATAGATCCTTATCTCTGAGTGATGTAAAATTTGGAGTCACCTTTAGTATCCCTGAGCCCCCCAGGTTGACTATGAGACCCCCAGGGTGACTGGAGATCCCTACTCCAGATAATTGGAGCGAAGTCCAGCAGATCAATGTACCTCCCCGGCCCAGAATCGCTTTGGGAAGCCTAGTGATTCCCCTGAAGAACCCAGCTTTCTTCTCTGGGCCCACAGCTCCAGGTACTCTCCGCAGGGCCCCTCAGAGTAAGCCCGACTTGGCCCTACAGACCGGCAGAGTCGAGGTCCCAGCCTAGGTCCCCCGAGCCTGGGTGGGGCACAGGCTCGCAGGCAGCGCGCATTCCAGCCTTCCAGCCGGGACTCCAGCACTCCCGGCAAGCCGGAAGGTCCGGAGCGGATAAATAGACACAAGATCTGGATCTGCTCACTGCTTCTCTGGCTGGTCTGTAGTCAGCCACCCAGCACCCATTTTCATACCGGGAAACAGAGTCTGTACTCCCCTACTTGCTTTAGTGACTAGGGGAGACGGAGACCCCTAGAACCGTGCCTCAGGCTGCAAGTGGCCTTTCTCCGTCTCTCCCCCTACACTCATCTTGTCCTGTCCCCTGGCCAGGTGTCCTGAAACTTTCTACATTCCTGAATAGAGGAGGTTGACACCCCCATGTGTGTCCTCCCACCGCTGACTGATGCTGGAGCCCTGGATCTGAGCACCTAGTTGTGGTGCCTTCCACAGCACCCATGACCCTGTGGACAAAGGCTAGGTTCCACGGGCCATTTGAAGTCTCAAAGATCAGAACCCCTAGCCTTTGCTCATGCCGTGGCCCCCACTTGATGTACTCCCTAACTGCGGTGGCCTAAAGCCCCAAACCCCCTCCCCTCCCCTTGCTCTGCAGAGGTCTGGGCATTGGGGCACAATAAAAATTTGCAAGTGAGCTGACTCGGGTCTGGTTTCTAGAGTGAGCGTCTTTTTCAGAGGGGAGGGGGACCTCTGCACTGTGTTGTGCTCCTGCCCGTGATCCACTCCATGTTTTCTTCCTGACATGGTTCCCAACTTTGCTGTAAGTCTGCAGACTCCCAGCCAAGTTGAGGGACCGCCGGACTGAGGACTGAGTGGAGGCTCAGCCGAGGCCCCACACGGGCAGGGTCAGCACGGGACCTCAAGGGGGGTACAGGCGGCACGTCCCTCAGTCCTCTCATCCCTGTTCCCCTCCTCCTTAGGATGGAGTGGGCCGCCGGGAACCGAGGGAGGGACCCACGGGGACAGCCTGGGCCCTGGGAGCTCCGTGTGGGCCTGCTGCTGAGTGGTGAGAGGGCTTGTGAAGGCCTGGGGGTTTCGGGATGTGATGGTGGGTCCTGGGGTAGCCAGCTCTGGAGCTGCCGGGTAGGGAGCACAGTGGAACCAGCTGACCCACTGTTCCCAGTGCTGGCCACCTCCCTGGCCCAGGCCCCAGTCCCGGATGTGCCAGGCTGTTCTCGGGGAAGCTGCTACCCAGCCACAGGAGACCTGCTGGTGGGCCGAGCTGACAGACTGACTGCCTCATCCACCTGTGGCTTGCATGGCCCCCAGCCCTACTGCATCGTCAGTCACCTGCAGGTCCTGCTGGGGTTGGGATGGGGGCCTGAGTCAGTGTGGGGCTGGCACTGGCTGAGGCCCTGACACTGACCCTGACCCTGACCCTGACCTGACCCAGGATGAGAAAAAGTGCTTCCTGTGTGACTCCCGGCACCCCTACTCTGCTAGAGACAACCCCAACAGCCATCGCATCCAGAATGTAGTGACCAGCTTTGCACCACAGCGCCGGGCAGCCTGGTGGCAGTCAGAGAATGGTGAGGCCATGGGTGGGGCACGGGGTGAGCATGGCTGCCCATCAACAGCCTCAGTCCCTGACCTCCGACTCCTGCCCCAGGTGTCCCTGCCGTCACCATCCAGCTGGACTTGGAGGCTGAGTTCCATTTCACGCACCTCATTATGACCTTCAAGGTGCCGGCATGTCTGGGAGCCTGCTTGAATCCCCTTGCTGGGCTCCCCATTGCCCCTGAGCAGAGTCCCAGCTCCTCAGCCCAGCCCCCCTGAGCTCCTATGCTGTGTGGGAGGCTCCTTCCTCTCCCATACCTTCCATTCCCTTCCGCCTCCATGCTGCCCTAATCCCCAGCTGGGTCTGGAGCTGCCTCCCTGGGCCCCTGAGCTGACCCCCTAGAGGTGGTTGCTCTCCCTGATCGTTGCTTGGCTTCCACTGGTCACCCCCACCTATCTGTGAGCTGCTTGAGGGCAGGCCTCAGCTGGGCAGAGCTCTTGATGGGCTTGGCCTGGTGCCCGCTGATCAGCCATGCCTCCCACCCAGACATTTCGCCCGGCCGCCATGCTGGTGGAGCGCTCAGCAGACTTTGGACGCACCTGGCATGTGTACCGATATTTCTCCTATGACTGTGGGGCTGACTTCCCAGGAGTCCCACTGGCCCCTCCACGGCACTGGGATGACGTAGTCTGTGAGTCACGCTACTCAGAGATTGAGCCATCCACTGAAGGCGAGGTGCGGCCTGGGATGGGGGCTTGGTTTAGGAAGAGGGGATGATGGGCCTGAGGGCAGGGTGGTCCAGCGTCTCTAATGGCTCCATGCCCCTCCAGGTCATCTATCGTGTGCTGGACCCTGCCATCCCGATCCCAGACCCTTATAGCCCACGGATTCAGAGTGAGTGTTCCACCCTTTAGGCTTGGCTCAATCCCAACGTCTGGCTGGTGACTATTTGGGGCCTCGGTAGCTATTCTGGGTGCTTCCTAGGGCAGGTGCCAAGTCCAATTTAGCTCATAGAGTAATAGACAGGAGGTCTCCCAAGGTGACCTTGGCAGCTGCAACCCCTGGGTGAGTCTGAGGCAGCAAAAGCCTGCCTTGCCAGCTGGCCCCAGCCTTCTCCCCACACCTTAGACCTGCTGAAGATCACCAACCTACGGGTGAACTTGACACGGCTACACACACTGGGGGACAACCTGCTTGATCCACGGCGGGAGATCCGAGAGAAGTACTATTATGCCCTCTACGAGCTGGTTGTGCGTGGCAACTGCTTCTGCTATGGACATGCCTCACAGTGTGCACCCGCCCCAGGGGCACAAGCCCACACTGAGGGCATGGTGAGGGGCTTCGGCTGGCTGGAGTGGGGCTGGGGGCAGGGGCAGGTGCAAGAGTGACTGGACAGTGCTGACCACATGCCTGCCCGCCCTCCTAGGTTCATGGGGCCTGCATGTGCAAACACAATACTCGTGGCCTCAACTGTGAGCAGTGTCAGGATTTCTACCATGATCTGCCCTGGCATCCAGCCGAGGATGGACACAGTCATGCCTGCAAGAGTGAGTGAAACCCTGGCCCCATAGCCCTGGAACTCCGTGGCCTGGCTGAGCCTGGGGTAGAACCCAGAACTGGATGGTCGAGCCCTGAACACCCAGGCTGTGTCCAAAGGTTATCCAGGCCTTGACGCCCCTGAGGACTCCCTCAACCCTCCTTGACAATCTGCTCTGGATAGGGACCCAGTATGGTGCTGAATTAAAGTTCCTGAGCCCCCACTCACAAATTCTGGCCTGTGGTGGGACCTAAGGTGGCACTAGGGCTTCTTATGCCCCTTAATCCTGGGATATGGCCCCTCAAGAGGCCTTTGCCCTGCCCTTCCTTTCCTTCCCCAAGAGTGTGAGTGCCATGGGCACACCCACAGCTGCCACTTTGACATGGCCGCATACCTGGCATCTGGCAATGTGAGTGGAGGTGTGTGTGATGGATGTCAGCATAACACAGTTGGGCACCACTGTGAGCTCTGCCGACCTTTTTTCTACCGTGACCCAACCAAGGACCTGAGGGACCCAGCTGTGTGCCGCGGTGAGGCTGGGCTTGAGCGTGGGAGAGGGAAGGCTGAGCCTGGGGTAGGAGCTGGGGAGCTAGACTGCTGTCCAGATGGCAGGGATTTGGGGAGGGGGGCATAGGGTGAAGCCAGACTGGGAATTTGGGGGCAGAGGGGAGGCTTGGAAGATGACTGGTGCTGGACTAGTTGGGATAGGGTAACCCTGCACCTCTTTGCCCTCAGCCTGTGATTGTGACCCCATGGGTTCCCAAGACGGGGGTCGTTGTGATCCCCATGACGATCCTGCACTGGGGCTGGTCTCAGGCCAGTGTCGCTGCAAAGCACATGTCGTGGGCTCTCGCTGCCAGCAGTGCCGTGATGGCTACTTTGGACTCAGTGCCAGTGACCCTGCAGGCTGCCAGAGTAAGTGCTTCCTGCCCTAACTCGTGCTAACCTTAATCCTTGACCTCTCACCTTTGACCCCACTGAACGTGAGCACTCCACAGCTCCCCAAAGTGCTGATGGGTCTCCTTCCCCTGCAGGGTGTCACTGTGATGCCCGGGGAACAGTGCCCGGGGGCACCTCTTGTGACCCCAAGAGTGGAACCTGTTTCTGCAAGCGTCTAGTGACTGGACACAGCTGCAACCGCTGCCTGGTGCGACTGGAGGAGGCCAGGGTTCTGGGGTCCAGCACTTATCCTCAGAGCACAGGGTGAAGGGATGGTGTCCATGTCCCACTGGGTGGGTGCTAAGGGCTTAAGGTCCAGTCCTGGCTAGGAGGCAGGTCTGGGAGGCCAAGGGTGGGAGCCAGTTTTCATCAAGGGGTGGTAGAGGCTGAGAGCCATCATTGGATTCCCTGCTGGGTGGCGGGGGAGTCTGTTTCTGGCCCCCAGCAACCTCCTCTCCCCCAGCCTGGCCACTGGGGCCTGAGCCATGACCTGCTGGGCTGCCGTCTGTGTGACTGCGACGTGGGTGGTGCCTTGGATCCTCAGTGAGTGCTCTTTAAGGGGATCCAGGAGGGATGGGGAAAGATCCTGGGCAGGATAGGGGGTCTTTCTTTAATAACTGCACTCCATAGGTGCAACGAAGCCACGGGTCAGTGCCACTGCCGCCAGCACATGGTGGGGCGACGCTGTGATCAAGTGCAGTCTGGCTACTTCCGGCCCTTCCTTGATCACATGACATGGGAAGCTGAGGACACCCGAGGCCAGGTAGGGGGCCAGTGTTGGAGGGCAGGGCATGGGGAGGCGGGATTATGGGCTCTGCCCTTTGTGGGGAGGGTGTTGGGCCTTGGGCAGGGCCCCAGCTTGAGAGCTGGGGTTTGAGGACCCGCTGTGGCAGAAGAGGTGGAGCCTTGCCTGAGCCCTGACCCACAGCCACATCTCCTCCCAGGAGCTTGATGTGGTGGAACGCCTGGCCAGCCCCGGG